CCCTAGCAGGGCCAGAGCCCCACACAGGAAGGGAGTCACCCTCCCAGCCCCCGCCCTCCCCCGAGGCTGTCCGCCAGGATTCTTTATCCCCATTCTACATGGGGGAAACTGAGGCACAGAATCACTTTCCTTACCGAGCTCTCTGGGGGAGGGCCGTCTCGGCGTTTATGCCGTGCCTGGCACAGTGGGGCTCTGCTCATGTCTGGGGAACCCCCACCCCCACACAGGAAGGGAGTCACCCTCCCAGCCCCCGCCCTCCCCCGAGGCTGTCCGCCAGGATTCTTTATCCCCATTCTACATGGGGGAAACTGAGGCACAGAATCACTTTCCTTACCGAGCTCTCTGGGGGAGGGCCGTCTCGGCGTTTATGCCGTGCCTGGCACAGTGGGGCTCTGCTCATGTCTGGGGAACCCCCACCGACCCCATCCCTGCTCCTTGGCCAGGCATGCCCTCTGTGGGGCCCAGAGCTCACGGAGCCCGCTTGGGGTGGGGCTGGGAGCCGTGGGGTGGGGAAGGGCCCCATACCTGCTACAATGATCTGCACCGGGTCGCTGAGCTCCGAGTAGGCAGCTCGTCCTGTCCTGTTGGCATAAAGACAGGTGTAGTTTCCACCGTCTTCCCGCCCGGCGCTGGCGATGGGGAATTCGGCCGCAGAGCCGGCAGGGTCTGTGTAGGTCAGATAGTTCCCATCCCCGTCCTTGTAGAGCAGGAACCTCATGTCCAGGCGCTGAGTCCAGCACCGGATGGTGACGTTTCCCCCCACGGGGATCACCCCCCCAGGGCTGGCGGAGATGGAGGGTTTGGGGTACAGCCCCTCTGGATGCACAAACAAACCGGCATTAAGTTCCGCCTGCTTCCCCCTCTGCCCATCTAGGCCCAGCGGGTTCCCCCTCGCCCGGCCCTGGGTGCAGGCCCGGCCCCGCGGCCACAGCCGGGGTGAGACACGCGGGAAAGGAGATTTCCAGCCCCTGACTCCTCCAGCTCCCCAGGGTCACTCCTGTCCTGCCCCCGGGGCAGCCAGGGGGCGAATTGGGATCTACCCTGCGGGTTCCTGCCCCACGTTTGGCTCCTGCGAGCAAGCGGCTCCCGGGATCACTCACCCCAACACACGCGTGTGCAAATGTGATAAAGCGGGGGAGGGCGTGAAAGGGGAGGTTGCATGTGGGGGGCACTTAGCGTCCCTGGGTGTGACTGGTGGAACGAGGGGAGCGGGTTGGTTGTTACAGGGACCAGCACAGACCCGGAGCCCCCAGCAACTGGGGCCCTGGTGCCCGGCAGACCCAGCTGGGTCTGGCTAGTGGGAGCCAATGGGTTGCAGAGAGGGAACCCCAGTGCCCTGCCCCACTGGTCCCAGCTTGGGGGGGAGCACAGGACAGAGGAGAGGAACCCAGGTGACCCCAGTTACTAGGACAGGGGGAAAGGCTGCTGGGGGGGATACTGGAGGCTCAGCTGGAAGAAGGGGGCTGCTGGGCTGAGGGAGCAGGAGAGCCCCCCTCCCCCCCGGCTGCAGGGCAGGCTCAGACGGGCTGGGCTGTGGGGGGCCAGGCCGACAGGCCCGAGGGTCCCTGTGCTGGGTTCAAAGCTCCATAAACTCCCCTGTGTGAGGCTGGGCTGGAGAACAGGGCTGCACCCTCCCTTCCGGGCGTGGGCCCATGGGGGGTCCAGAGCGAGGGGGGACCCCCCCAGGAGGCTCCCAGCAGAGACAGGCCCTGAGAGGCGCCTACTCGGAGGGGGAGGGGAGGACCCCCCCAGGAGAGAGTGCCCCCCCAAGAAGGGGCTGTCACACCATTGGGGGTTCTGCCCAGGCCAGGTGGGCGCCACCTGTGGGATGGTGACAACGAAATCCTCCCGTTGCTCTAGCGGGCGCCCATCCCTGTCATGAGTGGGGCGAGGGCTCAGCCTCTGCATGTGGGAGGCAGCCCCGGTCTGACAGCATCGTCCCTGGGGGGTCTGCATGTGCCCCCCCCCCCCCTCCCC